AGAACTGTACGATCCGTCTCAGCCTGAGTGCCCAATACAAAAGATGCACCTGGAGGCGGTCCGCTTTCTCAGCCAGGCATCCCAGGGTGGGCAGGGATGTTATACTCGGGGCATGGAATGTTCTCAGCCTTTCTCAGCCACGCATTCGGGACATGGGACGCTGGACCCGGTTTCCAGCACGGGGTTGTCAGACTCTGTTTTTTCGACATGATATTGTTCTGTAAAAATTCTGTAAAATTTCTGTCAACTTTCTATCAATTTTTCTGTCAAATTTCTGTCAAATTTCTGTAGATGGGATGCTGGACGCCATGAGGATAGCAGGAGGGGAGCAGGAGCTAGGGGAGGGGAGGGAGGTCCCACCGGTGCCCCCCGGTGGCTCTCCCGCCTGTACCCGACGATGCTGCAGGCTAAGTAGGAAGGAAAAGGTCAGCTATGGGACGCTGGAACCGGTTTCCAGCCAATGGCGTCACCCTCAAGAATGTGCTGCTACGAACAGATGTATTCATGGGACGCTGGGCCCGGTTCCCAGCAGGTGATGCTTCCCACCAATAGACGGAGCGGCCCGCCAGGCAAAGCCTCAATCCCGGTGGTTCTCTTACCACCACCAGGATAGAGGCCTTGTACAAGGGCCTGTTTCTCAAAAAACAAACAAACAAACAAACAAACAAACAAACAAACAAACAAACAAACAAACAAACAAACAAACAAACAAACACAGCATGAACACTCTCTGTCGGAGTGCCCTCCCACAACTGTCAGAGTGTCCTCCCACAGAATGTCAGAGTGTCCTCCCATGGCTGTCAGAGTGTCCTCCCACAGAAGGTCATGATGGCACAAGCACCGTTGAACTGGAAAGATGGACAGGGTAGGGGGCGTTGTATCGGGCGGAGGGATTTTTCAGCACCGAAAGTCTTTGTATTTTATACACCTAAGAACAACCGCTGGATGCGCAGCTCCCGATGCGTCTCAGACGCCACGTGGGGTCACACACACTGAGCTAGTTCAACGTTGAACTGGCTCAACGTGTATGTGGGAGTTGGCCCCGGAGCCTGGTTCATCCCTGCGGGCCATGGCTATTGATGTGAGGGACGCTGGGCCCGTCTCCCAGCCTGTGATGATATGATACACTCCTTTTTTGTATATGAAAAAAAAGGCCGCCGGTCGTCGCAATGTGCCATGTAGTTCTGCAGACAGAACTGGACCGCCGCTAGTGGGACTTGGCCCCGGGGTCCTCACAATTCTGCCCGGTATTGGGCCTCACTCCACTACTCCAGACTCACCAAAAAAATTGTGAGTGCTTCTAGAGCTGTCAGAACCCTAACACTCTGAAAAAAAGAAGTGTCGCTCCACTTACTCTATGCGCCTCCCCACAATACTCCCGACTTGGAGAAAAATTTAGGGACTGCTCCCAAATGTCCGAAGACGTGAAAATCCATTCGGGAGTGCACTTCGCCACATTGCACTCCCGGCTTGGGGCGCTCTCCAATTTGGAGGCCAGGAGGCGCACTTCAGACAGAGACTGTCCAGCACGGTCCGGCATGTGGTGCCGAAAATTGTGAGGAGAATGCTTGTCTGTGCACGAGTTCTCCAGTCAAAACACACGCCTCCGCGAGAGGTCTCCCAAAAATGGCCCTTTACAGGCGGGAGGCTCGAGCAATTTTGGGAGTGCTCTTGGGAGCCACATTCTGACAACTCCTGAATTCAATCTGACAGGTTGAACTTGGGAGCTGGTGTGGTGACGCTGTGACGCCCAACCTCACGCTCGGCGCGACTTCCTGATCGGAGTAAGATGTGGGCCTGGAAGTGCGAAAAGGGGTGTGCCAAGGATTTTTGGGTAAGTGGGGGTGGAGTCCCAGGTCAGAATTGAGATCTCCTGTGACAGGGGTTCAGGGGCATAGGCGCAATAAGGCTAAGGGACGGGTTACTTTCGGTCTGCTGGCGGTCGATGTCGCGCCTCATAAGGCAGATGGCATGCGCGGTGCATCCTGGGTCGTCCGATCCGCCTGTTTTAGTGGCGGTGGTTCATGAGAGGCCCGTCCGTGAGGGTTGCGATCTTTATGAGTCGGACCTCCGGGCATGGACACGTGGCGACTGTCGTCGCGTGCTACGGTTAGGCTCCGTAACTCCAGAGGCTCGGTGGTTGCCGCGTCGTCTGCAATTTCTGCAAGGCGTGTGGGGCCAATACGGGGCTATGGAGTTCCATGGAACCACCGTGAGTTGGTGGTATGGGAGAAGGATGCGGAAGGGAGGGAAATTGGTAGCAATAACGACGAAGCCGGGGGATATGAAGTATTGTGTGTTATACGTAGTTGGGTAATCGGGGCACCTCGGGTCGCTGGTTATGGCGCAGTAAAATTCCCTGGCGCACAGTCGGTTCTCGGTTAGACAGGGAAATTCCGGATATCTCAGCCTAAGGTACCCTTCTCCCCAGTGTTCTAAGTATTCTGGATCCCGTGAATTCTCCCGGTCCGCGACGTACGACATCTTGTCATCCTAGTGTACGTATTTGATCGGGCTTCGATTGATACGGGAATTTCCGGGTTTGGTGGCGGAAGCTCCTATCGGAGATGCCAAGTTCGTCAGTGATCGGGAATCATCCGCGTGTGGGCACGTGTAGGCCGCGCTGGTCAGATCGTGCTTACACGTCGGCACACGAGGTGTTCGGTCGTACACGGGCTGATTTCGTGCAACCATGAGGTTTCCGCCCTACATGCAACATCGCCAAGTGGCATAGACAATTATTCAACAATCGACAATCATTCCCTACTTATGCAAGTGACGTGGCATCCTTGAGTACGCATTCATCAAAGCATCGCAAATGACATCAACTCTCCCTTGTTCGCCATCCGATGTGAGCAAAACGAGAAGGAAAACGACAAATATATCATCCATTCACCGCAAAGAAAAATCCATCCAGTCAATCAAACACTCAGTAGAAAATATCATGATTAATTACAAGCAAAACACGGGTCGAAGCCAAGACAAAGATTCCGAAAGAAAATGAGGGCGAATCGCCCGAGCCGCAATCAAAACTTATATACAAATTTGGAAAGAAAAGACCAAGAAAATTGCAAACCCACATCCATCCACCTCAGGTCTCTCTCTCTCTCTCTCTCTCTCTCTCTCTCTCTCTCTCTCTCTCTCTCTCTCTCTCTCTCTCTCTCCCCCTGATGCGGACAGTCCGTCGTCACGCACCAACCCACGAAGTCGTCACCCCGCTTAGTCCTCCTGCACCCGCCAAGTTCGCCCGCGCGCTACAGTCCGTCCTAGCCCCACGCGTCAACCCCGCGCATTCGGCACCAGCTCGTCGGGTCGCCCGACTTCCACTTCAACTCACCTCTTACTTCGCTCGTGAGCCGACCCTCACTGATCGCGCTCCCCGATCTTCCAGCAACTGTTTAAGAGAGCTATCTAATCGCCCAGCCGGAATTTATAGCGTGCATGCACGCGCGAAGAACACGGAATTGCAAGGACTTAGGAAGAGAGAAGGGAAGGGATTGCCTACGTTCTGCATGACCAGACCGCGGCGTGGGGGACATAGCCACTCTCCACGCATCGATTCGATCATGCAGCCCGCGGGCCGACTAGGCACAGCAAGAAGAAAAAGAGAGGGCAGGAAAGACGAAGCTCACGAAGAAAGATACAGTTACAATGACGCTTGCCCAAAAATTACAGTTACACACAAGATTAAGGGCGCCAACTAATCAGAGCTCCGTTGCCGCTGCAAAAAGAAGCGCGCAAGTAAAAGCAACGCGAGGCAAAAGAAATCCCGAATTCCTAAATTCCTAACTAATGCAAAAAAAAACTTCAATAAAGCGCAAATTCCAAAAAGAAGGTCCGATATTCCGAGAGCCGTCAAGGCTCAACAAGATTCGAAAAGGAAATTAAAAAGAAAATTAAAAAAGAACGAAGCAAAGTTCCCGCGCGATCTCCTCGCCGAAAACCCGACAGCAGTACAAGAAAAGAAGCAACGTCAACCATTATCAATCATGAGAGTGGCGGCGCGCCAGCCACTCAATCGAGCAACCAGAGACTTGCCCGGTCCTGAACGCAGCCATCCGAAAAGAGGCAACGTGAAAAGACGAAGAAGCGAGGACACTGATGCAATTTTCCTTTCGATCCCGATCTCCCGTAATTGGCCCAACCTTCCCATCTTAGGACCCCTCATTGTCCTGGCGCAGAAGATCATGCGGAACAAAAATTGGTTCGTCATCGTGCGGAACAAAAATTGGTTCGTCACATATGTGACGCCCAGGGGGTTCCAATCTTAAGCAAGCTCCTGCTTGCTTGACGTTGCGACATGTGTCAATCTCTCTAATCGATCGACACGCGGAGCTCTCCTCGTTGCCACTTACCGTGTGGTAAGAGTGTGGAAGTCATCCAGTGTGGCATACGTGGCTCTATCCTACAGGTTCCTTAGGAAGGGCTCTCCTCAATCGAAGGAGGGGATCAGGCGTGCCATCGTCGTGACACGTGCCATGCAGTCGCGTATCAATAACTAGCAGGGAGAGGAAAGGGAAGGCGGTACATGGGGGCGTGTTGAGGGGGCGGGTTAGTCGGGAGTGGGGGTAAGAAGCGTTCCATTCCCGCGACTGTCCCCGGAATCTCCTGATATCGGACGATCCGATGAAAGCGAGGGAAGCGGGTACCGCCATGGGGAAGAGAGGCGAGGTAATCAGGATAGAGGGTTGTGAAGGTGCGAAGGAGGGCCGTCCAGAACTAATCATGGTTCTCGCACGCGGGGATAGTCCCTGTGATCATGCAATAAACCTCGATCATGTTGTGGCCTCGCCACGCGGCACTGAAGAGAAGGACATGGAGACAAAAGACAGGGGTGGCACACCGAGTAGAAGGATGTGGATGTACGGTGACAGCGAGGCGGGTAGCGTAGAAGTGGCGGAAGGTGTCAGCGGGGAGGGGGTTGTGGGGGAAAGAGACCGGGATGGTAATCTGGCGGAGGGTGAGGTAATAAAGGGGACGGTGGGATAATGACCGAGGACGAAGCCCAATGCCCCGCATCGACACGTGCTCAAACTCGGGGACGGGGGGATGGGGATCGGGATCGGCTCCGTCGCCTGCGTGCCGGTGCACTCGAAGTCTCGGCAGTAGGGTCCCTATCGTCGTTCTTGGGCGGCCCGGGATCCTTGGTCGGGTCGTTCGAGATCGGCAGATCTGCACCACTCACGAACTCCAGCGGCTGCTTTCTGGCCGCGATCTCCTCTCTCCTTTGTGACGCCTCGGGATCCTCCTCCTGAGCTTCTGTGCAATCCGCCTCTTCACCCAGAGTCTCCCACTCAGATTCCTCCTCCTCCTCCAACTGATCTTCTTCTTCTTCTTCTTCTTCTTCTTCTCCTCCCGATTCTTCCTCACTGTACTCGTTGTAGCTTCCTTCTTTCTCCGCTGTTTCCTCCTCACTTTCGTCTTCCACCTCCACTTCCTCCGCCACGGCTCTTTCCTCTACCACCGTTCAGGGTGAAAAGAAGAGGACGTCAATGATCCCTCGGGGGTTGATGTCGAGGGGGAGGTCGTCGACGAGCTGCGCAACAGGGATCGTGAGTTCCCACACGATCGTCTGCCGATGGCGTGGCTCTACCGCTCCGAAGACGAATCCGAGGAGATCTCCTTCCACCTCTGTTTTCAAGGCCTGGATGATTAGCAGCTCCACGCTCTCCCTCACGGCACGATGCTCACCGTCCTGTGTCCATGTCGGCTCCACTTCGACCAGGCACAGTGAAAGAGTGAGGTAGTGCTTACACCAGATATGCCACTGTCTTGGCTTGATGAGAGGGACGGCAAGTGGCAGGAGACAAAAAGAAAGACGGGGATGGAGAGCAGACTGCCAGAAAGTGGGGAAGAGAGAGGGGAGGGCAAAGGTTGAAAACTGGGATCGGCTCATTGAGGGCGCCGAAAGGGAGCGAGTTCTGGAAGCACCACCGCTGGCTCGCGTTGGGACGTGCGAAGTCCGAGGGCGTCGATGCTGTTGGTGACGACAAGATTGTCACCGTGCCGCGCAAGCCACTCGTTCCACTCCACCGCCAACTGCTCACCCCACTTCCTGAGTGACACTCGGATGGCTGTATGCCGTAGCGGATCCATCGTGCTGATATCTCCGCTGAAGACAACGATGGTGGACACGTGGCTGACTCCCGGCATTGACAGCCACCGATACGCCGATGCCTTGGCCAATACGAGTGCTTGGCTATGAGCCGCAAAACGAAATTCCGCCGCCGCGTGCACTCCCGTGGTGCTGAAGAATTGTGCGAAGCGTAGAAGATCTGGTCTGATCCGTGCGTGATGGACTTGTCCGATCGTCGAAATGTCGTCACGTGGCGCCAGCAGGTGCTCGCCGAGGACTCGTTCGGTGAGGAAACTCATGGTGATGATGGTGATGGGGACGGAATGTCTGAGGGAGAGCGAGGCAGAGAAGGAGAAGCGGGTGATAAGCAGCCGTCGTCCTCTTCCTCAGCGGATGAGGAGACAGACGAAGGCGGAGATGGAGAGGAGGGGAGAGGCCGTAAGTATGACACGTGGCGAGTGATCGGTCGAGCCGATCGGCTGCCGGAGACCTCAGGCACGAGCCGCACGGTGTTCACGCAGTTCGGTCCGAGCTCAACTACGCGAAATCGCCTGAAGAATCGTGGCGCTAGCTTACCCTGGCGAGCATATTTCCTTACCTGCACGATGTCCCCTAATTTATACTGGGGCCGTGGTCCCCCATTCCCATTTCGGGCCTCGTAGTTACGGACCTGTCGGTCGTGGGCCAACTCAGTCATTTTCTGGCGCTTTCGGGCTAATCGGGGAAGGGACCGCTCCATCAGTTCCAGGCGCCGTCCTGAACCGTGGCCTTTGTGGACCGCCGGTGTATCGTCCGTCTGAGCGAAATGAGAGAAAGAGAATGTGGGAACAGTTAGCGGTCTTAACGCCGCAAGTGGACAAGATTGTTATTGCTGGGGACTTTAATACAGTCGCCTCCCCTTGTTTAGATGCTGCAGTTGTGCGCCAAGAGTAGGTCGACTCTGTTGCCCTATGTACGAGTATGGCAGCCTTGGGCTGCAGTGACTCCTTTCGTACTTTATATCCGGATATCAAGAAGTACACATTTTGTGGCACTGTTCCTAACCGGCGCAACGCCTGTACTCCTTGAGCAAGGCCCTGCCGCAAGGGCCATCTATGCTTGAGCGGCGCCCATTGTCGTTGTCGGCTGACAAAAAAATAAACGAAAAAAAAAAAGGAAAACTTCCAACGACTAGATTTGGTGGAGAGGGCATCAAGTTTGGGCTCCAGCCTAGGGCACGTGCGGGGGGGTAGCAGCCCGTTAGATTGTGACATGTGAGGCGCAGTATTCCGAATGGCGACGCCATGTATGACCAGGTTCCCCAAAACCTCTCCTCTGAATTCCGCCCCATTATCGGTCAGGATCTCCTCCGTGTCCTGATGCATTCTGAGAAACCGGTTGAAGTATTGCGTGATTTCGGCCGCATGTCGCGTACGACATGGGTATGCCTCAATCCATTTCGAAAAATGATCTACGAATACCAATAGGATTGAATATTCACAACTATTCGGTCCAGGGGGTACCACAATATCGGTAGTATCCATACTAACCCTTTGAAAAGGCCGTTCAACTACCGTAGGTACTATCGATCTTGGTGGCTGAATCGGCGCCTTGTCAGCGGCGCAAACCTGACAGTTCTGGACGACGAATTTCACATTGTGACGGATATTGGACCAATACCACTCATTTTTGTCGATTGTCGCTTCCGTGATCTGGACGGCAAAATGGGCTGCAGTTTCCTCATGCGCCGTCTTAACCCAGTCATACCTCATGAACGGGTGCGGTACTACCACCCAAATCCCACTGCCATCCGTCTTCCTTTTTTCTAACCGACCCTCGTTCCAGCGATAGTCCCGAGCCCTTTCATTGGCCCTCCTCCGGTCCTCCTTAGTGAAGTCCTGGAGGGGGTTACCTACTAAGGTGGCGATTAAAGCAATATCCGTCCATACCTCGGCCCTTCTAAACTTCTGGGTCTTTTCTAACCCTTCGGACGTGGCGTCGAGAAATCGAGCCTCAATCGGGATCTTATCAACTCGACACAAGGGGCACAACCAAGGCCTATCGTCATTTCTGTATTGAATGCACGAGCCATGGGCTCATGCGACACACTGCCGACAATCTACCCATTCCGCATATCCTTCCCTAGTAGGATGCATAGGGACGAAATAAACGCGTGAAATTGCTTCGCAAAAATAGCAAATTTTGTCGGGGAGAGAGAGAAGGGACGAAGGTGAGAGGGGAGGGAGAGATGTCGTAGGATTACCTCTGTCACCCATTGCCACGTGCCTGTTTCTTGCCACGTGGGAGAACTGCCACTTGTTCGTCATTGGGCCCGTTCGCTGGTTCCGGTTCCTTCCAGGGGATGATTTCTTCTCCTTTAGGTACCTTAGCTGGTCGATGAAGATGTGTCAGTCCGTCCGTGTTGCCGTGCCTCTCTATCTTTCGATGGATGACGTCGAAATCGTACTCCTTTAGGAGCACCGCCCATCGCCCAATCATACCCGTGTAATTAGTGAGCCTCTTCAGCGCTAACAGCGGCTTGTGATCAGTCACCAGAAGCAACTTTTGTCCGTAAAGATACGGATGGAAGTGTTGGATTCCCCAGACCACGGCGTAACATTCGCCTTGCGGGGCCGAATCATTCCTTCGCTCATCTGGCACCGTGCGTGATGCGTATTCGATGATGTGTTCACGACCGTCGCTCCCTTTTTGCGCTAAAATGGCGGAAATGGCCTCCGGCTGATAGTCCGTGATGAGAATGAACTGCTTTGTAGGGTCCGGCCGGATCAGAATAGGTGTTGTGGCCAGGGCGTCCTTGAGGGTGGCGAAGGCCTGCTCGCACTCGGCGTCCCAACTAAGAGGCTGGTCCTTTCGCAGCAGGTTCGTCAGGGGTCTTGCTATAGCGACAAAACCCTTGATGAAACGACGATGGTATGACGCCAGTCCCAAGAAGGCTCGAACCTGCGTCAGCGACGTAGGAACGGGGGCATTTTTCACCGTCGCGACCTTTCTCGAATCTGGCCGCAGTCCTCCTCGTGTCACCACGTAGCCCAGGAACAAGATCTCTGAGAGGAAGAACTCGCTCTTCTCGAGTGCGATCTTGAACCCAGCGTCTCTCAGAGCTCCCAGCGTCCACTCGATATGTTGTGCATGTCCGTGATAGGTTTTCGAGTAGACCAGAATGTCGTCTATGTATACGATGTCGCAGAAGTTGATCATTTCCTGAGTTAGCCGTGTCTTGTTGACAAAGATTTGAAAGGTTACGTTCATGGCCCGCTGAAATGTGGCAGATGCGTTGCAAATACCCATAGGACACCGAACCCACTACCACATGCCTTCAAATACGAAGGCCGTTTTCGGTCGATCTTCCTCCTTAACCAGAATGTGATGGAAGTCGTGACGAATATCAAACTTACTAAAATAATTAGCACACCCAATCGCATCCAGCAAATCATCAATCCAGGAAAGGGGATACACATCTTTGATCATGATATCATTCAGTTTGTGATGATCAATGCATATGCGAATCGACCCATTTTTCTTCGGCACTAATACTACCGGAAATGACCATGGCCCAGTAGCAGGTTCGATCCACCCATTGGCTTCGAACTCCCGGATCCGCTGGAGGGCCGTCTTCCGTTCTACCACGGAGTATCTGTAGGGCTTACAGTGGAATGGGGGATGGTTTTCAGTCTGAATCTCGTGCTGTATGACCAATAACAGTCCGATATCCGTGTCCGTCACGCTAACCGCTCCTTGGTATTCCTTCATAATGTATGCGATCCGGTGATGAATCTCATCGGGTACGTAATGGGGCATGTGTAGCTCATACGATTGGTCCCATATCCGTACATCGATCTGTTTTGTACTTCCTCGCTTAGCAGTTTCAGGTGGGGGTGCGGAAATAAACGAGTTATCCGATCGCCAAGAGAATACCGTGACCATCATTTGTGCATCTTGCTCCCGAATGGCCACGTGTTCCTCCGGGGTCACTCCGTCGCAAATATCCTGCCATGACACGGGCTTCGTTGCGATTTTAATCCCGAGTCCGTTTTCGAGGCGCTCAGGGGGTTCCAAAGAATTGGCCTCCGCCCCTAAGCGTAGCAATCGTATCCTTTCGCAAGTCGCAAAAGTGATCGCGGGAGGCTCGTGATGTCGCAGAAGTGTCTTTTGTTGTTGTATCGCGCAAGGAAAGGGGAGATACCTTCGTATAGGGTTCGAGGGGGTTCCAAAGAATCGACCATCCTCGATATCTGTACGAGAGGTGCGCTCAGAATCATTGTCTGCGTCCTCGGCAAGTTTCAATCAGTCAGGTTCAGAGGTTTCACGTTCGTTCGTTGTGCAGGGTAACAAATGCGTTGTCGCGCCAACTCCAAAATTACCGCATCATCCTCGTCATTGTTGTCCGCCTCCCTCGATGATTGCTCATCGTCCGCGGAGTTTTTCCAAGTGATCACACAGAGAGTTCCCGCCATTACCAGAGAGACCTGCGGGACTGTGTTAACGGTAGTTCGGAGAGTCATTCTCATAGGTATGGCGTAGGGTTTTCCTCTCGTATTTCGGAGGAGAGTCGATCGTTTCTCGAAATCAAGATTGGCTCGCAAGGCCATAAGAACGGGCAGTCCTAAAAGAACGTTGTAAGTGTTTACATCCAACACTACGACATCTCCCAAAGCGTGCACCTTTCCTAATCGAAAAGCCACATTGGTCATTCGCCCTACTGTTTTGATTTTCTCTTCATATGCCGAAACCAGCTGCTCTTTTTCCGCAAGCATAATCAAGTCCTTCTTTCTCCCTGCTCTTTCAACTACCCGTAACGAAATGGCTAAAACGGCAGCTCCAGAATCAATGATAGCGGAACACCCCATACTTCGATGTCACATTCCGCGGATTTCCACGGAACTGCCTTAATCCACAGAAAATGGTCATCTTTCTGGATTAAACCCAAACATATCGGATCCGAAGTACAAGCTGCGTTTTCGTCTCGCGTTGGACTTTTTGCTTTCGTGTTTGTTGTTCGGGCGAGGGCAAATCGTTTCTGATTCGCCTTGCAGTGTTGTAACATACGTTCATTGGCTTGTTCCGATATTGATAGTAGATGACAGATCGGGAGAGTGATCCAATGATCTAGTGCCCGAACGATGTTCAAAACATCTATTTCCCTGGTGACGAAGGTGGGTCAGCCCGACTCCATCTCCCATGGAGAAGGTCGCCACTCCGCCACTTCCTTCTGCTCTTGGGCGGGCCTGATTGTTCCGATCATACCCAACCCTGGGTAGCCCAAGTTTACGTACTGATCCAACGGAATAAGCTCAGCGGCCTCTTCCGTTGTAGCCAACGCACATCTAACTCCTTCCATTTCTTCCATCAGCGCCCCTACTCGTTCTGGTCCGTTAGCGATTGGGGCTGCTGCTACCGGTGCGGCTCCAATCCGTGGCTGAGGAGGTCGATGGGGGCAATCTCGGGCTATGTGTCCTGGTTGATGACACGTGTAACAAACGTTCAGATTGCCAGGAACTCCTGTGGGAGGGGGTGCCGGAGCCAGCCCGTGTTGAATCGCGGCGGCACGCACCTCTATTGGTCGCATCGACCTCATCATTGCCTCTATTCGAGCGTTGTGTTCCCGCTGTTCCTTCTTGCTTTACTGAATCAGATTGACCAGTGTTTTGGTTAGTTCCAATAAGGCGGAAGACTCATTCGGTCGTGCGGGACTTTCGATCGGAGATGGGGGTGCTGTCATCACGGGAATAGGCATGCTTGTAATCACAATCGGGGTTGGTCGTTTCGGGGTAATCTGTTCCAGATAGGTGACAAGGCCAAACACAAACCCCATGTTTTCAAATTTGTTCTGTAGGGCGGCCAACTCAGTTTTAGCTCTCGATGTTCGGACGAATCTCCTTCCCTAGGATAATCTTCTCCTTCTAGGAAACTCGCAACGAATTTTCGTTCCATTTCTTTTACGGCTGCCATGATCTGTTGCAGCGTATGATTGATGGGAGAGAATTGTTTTCGCAGTTTCGCCCTCATCGTTCTGCTGCGAAGTCCATCGATAAACAAATTCCTTCCTACCTGCTCACCCCGTTTGGTTTTCACAAACATCCGATCGAATCGGTTTCGGTACTCGGTGACAGATTCGAGGGGTTTTTGAACTCGATCTTTAATCATGAAAACATTGAAAAGGGCTTGTTCGGGATGGATATAATCAAATCGGTTCAGGAAATCTCGCTCGAGTGTCGACAGATCGACCCATACATAGGTGCTAAACCAATGATGAGCATCTCCTCCCAATCGTGCGGGAATATTTACTTGTGCCTCGTTGTCATCGGATTGCTGAGCTCGGAGCGAGGCCCCTTGTTTGAAGCAGTCTTTTTAAAAACATTAAGTTTTTCATCTTCGTTTACGTTAGACTCAATGGTTGATGTGGAACAACCTATATCGGAGTCCGGCTCTAGATCGTTATCTAGAGACAGATCATCCGCGTAGGACTGATCTTCAGCCTCCCGATGTTCATGCAGGGCAAGCTGGTTGCTGCTTCCATACCGCTTGCGTTGTGGTGTTCCACCTGCAGCGGGCGCCTTCTTACGCCTGGCGAGGTCCTTGGCCTCTAGGTTGACTAAATCCGTCATGAGCTCTCGCCAGGTGGTATGGTTTTTGAGTGCCAACAGGGAGAGGTATTCTTTAGGGGCCACACCCATGACTACATCCATACAAGACACGTCGGTCATTCCCAGATCTGGAGTGGTGAACAGACCAGTCAAGTGTTGTTCCAAGGCCTGCATGGAGGACCTCCATATTTGGCCCTTGAGGGCCTCAAGCTTCAGTCTAGCCTTGAGCGCAGCGTGCTTATCTTGGTATCGTGTGATGAGAAGGTCCTCAAGGGTGCGTACAGGGGTTACTTTCAGCCACTCGGTCAGGTCAATTCTCTCATAACCTGCAGCAATAGCTTGGAGCTCAATGTGATTCCGTACGGCGGGCTCAGTATTAGTGCCCATGATCATACTTCGGTCTTCTTGCGGTGTCCGCATGACCTCGAAGTATGAGCGCATGGAACTAATCCAAGAGGTGATATCTGCTTTCCCGTCGTACTTGGACGACAAGGTGGCCGCCCGCTTGTCCACTACGGGACCACTGTACTGAACGCCAGTAAGGACTGTGGCGTTTTGGGCTGATGTCCCTGCATTTGGGACTATGACAAGTGCACAACTGCCGGCGCTGCCGCTCGAGGAGCTGGCACCGGTTCCTGCGCTCGTCACAGTTCCACTTGCTCTTGTCATGAGGATTGTGTTAGATTGAGAGACTGGGACTGCAGCAGGTCGAGGGTTAGGAGGGCGGGGGGCAGACAGTTGGGACTGTCTGAGGCTGAGTATCTCAGCCTGCAACTCTTGGTTTCGCTGCTCTAGTGTTGTCACACGGGACTCAAGGTCTTCCAAAGTCCGCAGTCGAACCAAGGTTGCTACGGCAGCAGCTAGTCTCTCCTGGAACCGGTCAGCATTGGCTTCCGGGATCCGAAGGAGGGCCACCTGATCAGCAATGTTGGCGGCTATGGTTGCTGCCTCTACCTCCCTTTCCCTCTGCACGGCATCATCATAAAGCTTTTGGAAGAACGGTTTCTCGTTCTCATCTGCTGCGTCCAGTATGGTCTGCCATTGGGCAGATGTGATGTTCGCCATGCCGGAGGAAGGGGTGTTAGTAGATCTCTCAAGAGGGGTTCGCTCTCTCCTCACGTTTGGACGAACACTCCTCTTGCCCTTCCTCACACTCTCAAACAGAACACCTTCTCTCTCCCTTCTCTCTCTTCTCGCTGTCTGCGCACGTGTCTCAATACCGGACATAGATAGTTCAGATGAAAGAAACAAGCAGAAAATTACACCGAGAAGAAGGTAGAACTCCTAGCCGGAGCGGTGTTTCATTTGGACTTAGAGAATGGCACGCAGCAGAATAAAAGAATAAATAAATAAATAAAAATAAAACAGAAGAGAGGACTGACTTAGAGAACGGGCCCGATCAGATTAGCTGGAGATCCCCTCTTGTCTAACCTGACAAGGGACATGTACCACAATAAATCAGCCGAAGAAAACTAACTGCAGCAATGGAGATTTCGAGGGGTGCAGACGATCGTCGAGCCAGACGCGGGGCAGTATGTGATAACATGCAGTAAGACCAGTCAAGATCCCCTTGAAAGGAATGCCCTTGCTAGCCGTATGTCCCCCAAGTTCAGCGCAGCAAAGAGCTGCACAGGCGGCAACAGATTTGGGCCCGAAAGATCCTGTCCCGTTGGGTTTGGTCCCACTGAGTCTCGAAGGTCCCAAGTAGGTCGTGGACCAGGACCAACGAGATAGGAGTACCAAGTCAATCCCAAACTGCCTCTACCATACTGAAAAGGAAAAGACAACTTTCAGCAAGAACTTACCCCTACAGCCATTCAGAAATGAAAAGACATTGCACCGTAGAAAGATATGTCATTTAGAACAGATACATCATCCATCCATCCATCAGGTGAGAAAGCAATCCACATGCTCACACACATAGCCAAGACTGCAGAGAAGAGAAAGAGAGCACAACACACCCCCAACAGGCCATGAAGCACCAAGCAACCTCCCATGGGCATAACCAGGTCACACGACACTTACCTGTGAGGCCCGACCTCCAAAGATGGATAACGACTCACCCCCCTCTCTCATAAGTCCTCCTAACCCCTAGCTACCACTACACGAAGTGTCCTAGCATGACTAAAAGGGCCTTCCTACACCCCTGTTGCAAGGCCGGATCCCCCGTCAATGTCAGAAGACCAAAGTAGCAACTTGCAGCTCTTCGATGCAGATATGGCAGCCTCCGATCAAGTCTCCCTCTTGAGGGGAAGCCCAAAAGTCACTCAATGTCTTCTTGAAGTGCAGATTCCAGGTGCGAGTACCTCTCACTTTCTACTCCCTCTCGCTTACTCCAATCAGCCTCCTTTGTGTCTCGCCACCCCATCCATTCACTCGAGCAACCTGGTCAGGTCAAATGTCGACCCTACATGACCTAACCAGGTGGGGGCAGTATCCACATACCTCACTGCCCCACTTAACCCTAACTTCCAACCCTAATCCGAGATTAGGTTTGCCCTAACCTAATTCGGAATTAGGGTTAGAGTGACTTACACCTCTCTCCAGCAAGTAAGTCCACTCCGATACCAATTGTTATGATCCTGGTCATTTCCCAATTGCAAATTCACAATGAAAGACAATGCCACCCAATTGCAAAAGAAATGAAAGCACTTGCAAAGAGATCGAGACCAGAGGAGATAGAAAGAAGAAGAAGAAGAAGAAGAAGAAGAAGAAGAAGAAGAAGAAGATGTACACCAGCAAGACCAATGACAATTCCCCCTTCTCTCTCCACCTTCCTCCTCCTCCTTCACTTCGCCAGCAATAATAACAACAATGAATGGATGAACCAGAATCAATATCCGAAGTTCCCTCTTACTGCTGACTCAACAACAACAACAACAACCAGTCCACCATAGCTATGGTTTCTCCCCCCTTCTTCCACCTCTCACAAGTCTAAGCTATGGTGGACTATTAGGGGATCATCCCTCCTGTCGAAAGGACAACGCAAAGCAGCTATGTCGCTGCACTCCTGTCCAAAGGACAACGCAAAGCAGCTATGCCGCTGCTGACTCAACCGCCATGCCTGACTCTGCCTCGAGCTTCCTTGGTGCGGCAATACCCCAACGGGGGCCTTCCAGGTGCAGCGCCCAACAAGGTGATGAAGATGGTGTCTACCATAGCCAGGTAAGTGCCTCGCCACTCTCCTCCTTCGCCCCCCTTCTTCCTCCTCCTCAAGCTGGACTGCTCGCCATAGCCAGGCTGAGCTCCAGCTGCCCTACACCTCCAAGCAGCGCTGTAGCAGCCAGTGCTGCGCTCCAGCAGCATGTCGCCAATCTTTGTATACCGCAAATGAGGAAGAGCTCTTTGCTCTTCCTTGAGATATAGCGGCCTACCGGCCTCCTGGGCGGTGACTTCCTAGGCCGAGCGGCCTCCCAGCAACCGGTACCTCCTCCCTTTCGGAGGGAAACATCATTGCAGACTCTGCTATCCTCCGTACAGGCCCTAGACCCGGGCTACTTGGACTGGTACCGGCCTACCGCTATCCTACCGCTACTGGGCCTCTAAAAATGCCAACTTTTTGTCTTCTTCTGCTCGGCCTCCAGTACCCGACACTCCTACCACTACTTGAGTCGTACCGGCCTACCTGCTACTTGAGTGTTTTTCCCCTTGCAACCCTCAAAGTCACGGCCACAGGTAAGTACTGGCCCTGCGGGGCCTTGCAACCAACAAGTACCCTTGCGGGGCACACACACGCTCAACCGACAAGCACTCAGCCAGGCATGCAAACCAACAGGCACGCACACACACATACATGGAAATCACAGCAGAATGCGGGAATTTCAGCAAGGCATTCATTCCAGCGGCAAATCCCAAAAATCAACAGTGTTCTCAGTCTGTGTTTTTGGCAGGTCATTACAGTAATTACCCTCAGGTTGTGGTGGTGCGGATGGAGCTGCCAATGGACGGTAGTGCTGAGAAATGGATGACTGAGCACTGTAAACCGCCGGAGAAGATCTTGTTGGAACCAAGCAAAACGCAACAAGGATTAATAATAAAAAAAGGGTCGCAGGCAATTGAAATAGAAGAATACAAAGAATTAATAGGTAACATTGTCCCCCCCCCAGCTCCTAGCTTGCCTGCCAAACGAGGAACGTGAGCAAATCTGGATTAATTCAAAAAATGGTGAAGTAAATGGACTACAAAAAAATAGGCAAGCAGTCATTTTCTGAGGAACCACCCGGAAAACCCCCTGATTACACGGCAAATCAGGCCACAACAAGCGGAACCATTGAAACGAATGAAGGAAATGGTCCCAAGGATTTGGAAAAAAGGAACGCGCTGACAAAATCCTCGGAGCAAAAGCATTTGCTGACCCCCATATCCCCCTATGTAGGTGCTCTGATTAGCAGGAGACAGAAGCTAAGTCCACTGGAGGCAGGGGGACATGCAGAACTAGCCCTGTCCAAACTAGGCGTACTAATCTTACCAATCAGACTGAAAGAAGGTGTATGGGAGGTAGGCTTATCAGAGCCGATAGGATCAATACACGGAGAGGTAACAATGGAACTCCAGTGGACCCTCTCTCATCCTTGATGGGGAATATGGCAAGGGAAGCACGATTCAAAGCAAAGATCGTTAAAATTATTCAAGCACAATTTCCGTCGGGGGGATCTGCAGTGCTTATCCTATCTTCTGAAGATCATAAGATCTCAGCTAAGGATGTGTTCCTCATATATGAGCATACGCGAGAAGGTCACTTACGTTGTATACCCAATACACGCTAATGGAGCTCCAACAAATGAAGATCAAGGGAGGTGACTTATGGACAAAAGTTGACGTCACGATCGTGCTCTCCCACCTCTTAAAAAAGAAAAAATACTTACTAGATCAAGGCAATAAGTTAGACTTTGGACATTGGTTGACGTTGTGAGCCACTTCATTTACAAAGCAGACAAGGTAATACAAACTATGGAAGATACAAAGGTGTTGGAGGTGCTATACAACAAGAAGAAGGACTGAAAACTCCTTAAAAGCGCCACAGATCTAGACCTTCGGTGAGTCAATGTAAATGGCTTAGAATCGGCCAAACAACAAAAACGACGGACAATTTACGAACAACTCAGAGGAGTGGAAGGTAAGGAATGGCCTTACGCCATCTGTTTACAGGAAACACATTTGATGGATAAGGCGGACCACCATCACGCCCACAAACAGATTTGGCCCCACCAGGCCTTCAGGGCACACACACCCAAGCCAGGTAGTGATGGAGTGACAATCTAGCTTCCCCCTAACTCAAGGATTGATCCTCTTTACAGGGAAGCAGATAAGGAAGAAGGGGGATGAGTAGTCCTCTAGGCAATGTTGGAGATTGAAGTGGTAACAATCTTTTGCGTATATGGTCCTAATGAGGTAGGGAAAAAATGTAGTTTTTTTTATTCCCTAAAGGGTCGTCTCCCCGTAGGTATCCCAGTGGTGATGGCAAGAGACTTCGATGCTGCTCCAAATAGACAAATGGATCGTTCACAGATCTCCTCCCCCTGTCTACAATACGTGGAAAAGTATGAGCAAATAATTGAAGGTCTATGTCAGTCTCTCAACCTCTTTGATGCATACAGACGACTTTTTCCTACAAAACGCAAGTTCACATGTTTCAAAAAAAAACTAACAATGAAAGAAACAAAATTTTGCATGTACCTCATATTTTTATCAGAAGAATGAGAAGGTGCACTTCAAATAGCAGAGATCTTCCCTCGCAGTGTCTTCCCTGATCTTGATCACGCTATAATTGCAGTTTTTCTTTCCTTAAGGAACAAGTCAGATCATGGTAAAAGTTTCTATAAATTAAATACATCTCTATTGAACATGAATAGTTTCAAAGCATATCTGCACGATGTTTGGTCCTTCTGGAGAGAGCAGAAGGAACAAATTCAGGATGACATAAGATGGTTCAATAGTGGCCTAATGGTTTTGGGCCGTAAATGTGAATATTTAGAATCGCTTGCTGAGTAACGCCATCTAGAGGAATATAATCTACAAAAACAACTTCAACATCTTCAAAAACAAGAAGAGGATTCAACGGAGGATCCTCAACTAACTAAGATTACCGAAAGAATCAGTAACTTCGAGTCCAAATTATTAAAGTATATGGAATACCGTTGGCAATGGATCAGAATAAGAGGTAAGTTAAGGGGATACAGTACGGAGGGGGTGATG